GGGGGGGGTTGGTCTCTTTTCCCAGGTAACTCTCAGCAAGACAAGAGGGCTCAGGGTCTTCAGCTGTGCCAGGGGAGGTTTAGGTTGGATATTAGGAAGAATTTCTTTCCAGAGAAGGTAATCAGCCCTTGGAATGGGCTGCCCAGGGAAGTGGTGGATTCTCCATCCCTGGAGGTTTTTAAGAAGAGACTGGATGTGGCATCAGTGCCATGGGCTGGGAACCACAGCGGGGTTGGATCAAGGGTTGGACTTGATGATCTCGGAGGTCCCTTCCAACCCAGCTGATTCTATGATTCTATGAATTTTGGAATTGTTCAGGTTGGAAAAGCCCTCTGAGATCGACTCCAACCATCCCCCAGCACTGCCATCTTCACTAACCCATGTCCCCAAGTGCCACATCCACGTGGCTTTTGAATTCCTCCAGGAATGATGACTCCTCCACTGCCCTGGGCAGCCTGTTCCATGAGAACACAGAACTACTTTGCCTCAGCTCCTGCACATGATGGATGTGTCCTCATTAAGTTAAGAACATTTAGGCAGTTTCCTGCACACCTGGGGATTGCCTTCCTAAAATAGAAATAACACTTTTCCTGTTGTTGGTGCTTTGGAGAATTTCTCAGCGCTGAAAATTCCTCCAAGAGCAACTAAACAGTCTGAAAAGTAACTGAGTTAATTAAACACCGAAATGATATCCCGCTCCTGCAGAAATACACCTCTTTGGGTGTTAAAAATGGGCCTGTGATGTTTGTTTTGGGAGGATAGAATTCCTTGGATTTTTAGAGGCTTTGCAGAGCATCAGGTGACCATGAGAGTGCTGATGTATAGAATAAAACATGACTAATTATGGTGTGTAGGTTGCTTAATGAAGTCTAATTTCCATCATGTGTAAGGTGGTTCTTGCAGGCCACATCAGTGATGCAGTTGGGATGACTCAGAGCCTCTGAGTCACTGTGGGATATTTGACCCATCCAACAAGGCAGGGAAGCCATCTAGGATTAACTGGCCACTTGTTTCCATCAGATCCTCCCTTTGCCTCCTTCACAACCTGTCCATAAGCAGCACATCCCTGGATTGGGGTGTGAGTGGGCACTGGGGGCCACTTTCCTGGAACTGGAATGGTTTGGGTTAGAAGAGACTGTAAGGACCAACTTGTTCCACCCCCTGCCATGGGCAAGGACACCTTCCACTAGCTCAGGTTGCTCCAACCTGGCCTTGGACACTTCCAGGGATCCAGGGGCAGCCACAGCTTCTCTGGGCAACCTGTGCCAGGGCCTCCCCACCTTCCCAGGGAAGAGTTTCTTCCCAATATCCAATCTAACCCTGCCCTCTCTCAGTGTGAAGCCATTCCCTCTTGTCCTGTCACTCCATGCCCTTGGAAATAGTCTCTCTCCATCTTTCTTGTAGCTCCTTCAGGCACTGGAAGGCCCAGATGAAGGTCTTTAGGTCACCCCAAAGCTTCTCTTCTCCAGATTGAACAATCCCAACCAAACAATCCCAGCCTTTCCCCAAAGGCTCACGAGGAAGAATTTCTTCCTAATACCTAATCTAAAACTCTCACCAAAGGGTTGTTATTTAGTTTTAATTTCCTTGCATGGTCAAGCCTGGTACTTGGTGCTCCACCCTGTGAGTGCAGAGGTTTTATTACCTTTATGACTATATTTGTGCAGCTCACAGTCTGGTCCCCTTTTCACCTGATAAACAATCAGTGTGAATCCATCTGATCAGACATGAAGGGATCAGGGACAGGAGGGGATGTGAAGAGAGAGCAGCTGCTGAGGGCACTTGGTGTGTTCAACTGGAGAAGAGGAGACTGAGGGGAGACCTCACTGCAGTTCCAGCTCCCTTGGGAAGGGCAGAGGAGGGGCAGGGACTGAGCTCTGCTCTGTGGGGACCAGGGACAGCACCCAGGGAATGGCTGGAGCTGTGTCAGGGCAGGGTCAGGTTGGATCTCAGGGAAAGGTTCTTCCCCCAGAGGCTGGTTGGGCACTGCCCAGGCTCCCCAGGGCAGTGGGCACAGCCCCAAGGCTGCCAGAGCTCCAGGAGGGTTTGGATGATCCTCTGGGACACAGGGGGTGACTCTGGGGCTGGGCCTGTGCAGGGCTGAGGGTTGGACTGGATGGTCCTTGTAGGTCCCTTCCAACTCTGGGATTCCATGACCCTTTTCTGAGCAGTCTGGTGCATCTGCTGAGTTTGTTATTCCCCTCAGCACGTACCAGAAATGCAGATGAACCCAAACCCAAAGGGATTTAACTCTGGGACTGATGTCTGTTACTTCAGCTCTGCAAAGAGAAATAAAGGCAGACAGCAGGGACATGATTTGGTTCGTGATTAATAGGGGGAATCATTACAGAATAACCAGCTCTGTGTCACTTCCCTGGATTTAAATGCACACTCTCCAGCCTAAGCTGCAGTCTGCAAGTCAGGTTGACTTAAACATTTTATTATTGTCATAAATTTAGCAACTAATAACTAGTGGGAAGCGAGTCAGAAGCTGCTCCCGGGGAGGAAAAAAACCCTCTGAGAATTTCCTTTGAATACTGACTTAGGTTCTGATTTAAAAAAAAATATATTACAATTAATTCTGGTTATCTGTCCATATGTAATAAAATCTAAAGCCCAAGACATGAGACAAACTTTAGGGATTTTTGGCAATACTCTCAAATTGATCTGAGCCACATCTCCAGTCACCGGGAGTGTGTCAAACAACTTAATGTTGTTCTGTTTGATGAAAATCCTGCTTGCTTACAATGAGGACAGTGGATATATCCTGGGGAATAAGGCTCTTCATAAGATCCTACTGCAGAATTAAGGGTGTTCACCACACCTTGGTAGAGGGTTTTAGATCCTGCTTGATGCTGCAGATGTTACAATGAGATGAATTCATCCATTTGTCTTAAGGAATAAGCAGGGATCCATCATGTTTCACTGACAAAATTGCCATCTGAGGTAAAATAATAACATTGATTACTGGGGATGGAGAAGAATGAAGGAAAAAAATTGATTTTTAAACATCCCCAGTGCGATTTGGAGAGATTAAAGTTAGCTAATTCATAATAAACATAGAAATGGAGAGAATAAATAAGAACCCTCTTTAGACCAATTACCCAGGCTCCATTTTCAGCCTGTGATAAATTCCAGATGACTCCTTAGCAAAAATATAGTTTATGGAGCTATAATATAGAAGCAAGTGGAGAGGCTGGATAAAAACCCTTCCTACATTTTAGCTGGGCTGGGAGGCTGAATAAAATGGTGCAGCTCATTCTGGGTGTATTTCCATTTAAAAAAATCTCTGTGCCCCGAGGAGGGTTTGACTCGATGTGTTGCTGTGGTTATCACCCAAAATGTCTGACAGGAATATTCCTGTAGCTCTGCCTAATTGCTGGGGCTACCTTTTGATGGAAATCTGAACTCAAACTACTCGGAATATATCCATAGAAAATACCTTCTTGGGTAAAAAAACCAACTAAATACGGAAACTTAAATACAGATTTGGTAAATTAGTCTTGTTTTTTTCCAACACTTTTTTATTTTTGTATTTGTTTCCCCCAAATTATGAAAGACTGGGGATGAAAGAATTTCATTAAGGCTGCAAAATACCTCAGTTTCTGAGGCAAACTCTCCATCTCTGTGAAGAGCAGGTTGGTTTTCAGCAGCAGCTCGTTCCTGCCATCAGCAAAATTGTTGTCAAAACATTTGAGGAGATCATGGCAGGTGAACCTGGTCATTTCAAGCCATCACTGAAAGGTCAAGGGCTGAGTGTAGAGCTGAAAAAAATAGCTGGATGGTGAATTTTTTGATGTGTATCTCTCCCAGATTGTGTGACACGAGCTCCTGGGTGAAGAGAAGTGACTCTCTTGGAGTTGTGGTGTCATGTGAGGTTTGCCCATCAAACTGTGTCGTGTCACGTCACACAATGGGATGTGACAGCTCAGCTTCCCATGGCACAGCTCTCCCGGGCCAGCTGGAAAACATCCCATTTAAACAAAGTTTGGGAAATGCTGGTTTGGGTGAGGCAGCAGAGAAGGGTGTGGGATGAAGGGGAAAGAAAGGAAACAGAGGAAATATTGTTGCAAGTTTTAATATCAGGGTGAAGACTTGAATTTTTTTTCTTTTTAAAACTGTTTTTAGTTTTTAAATTGGTTTGTGGCTTCCTAATCCAGCCCTGAGATCTGTCAGGACAGAATTCCAGCCTTCGGAGTTCATTTGAACAGGGAATGAAAGGAGAGGGAGATACAAACCCTCGGCAGGTAGGAGGAAAATTTGGGAAGATCCTGGAGTGGTTTTGTGGTGGGAGTAACAAACAGAAACCTCAGGAACCTCAGCTTGAAGTCTTTGGGAATTCCATCCCCTTTTACCTCACTCTGGACACTTTTGTTACTTTTTTACTGAACCTCAAAATTTTTCGATGCATGGCTTGAATGCAAACGTTGAGGAAAATGTCCTGAATTATGCTGATCATGTACAATTACAATAAACACACAGATGCAGCTGGAAGTTTGATTTTCTGTTTCTCTGGGCTTTATTCCTCATTAAACCCCGAGCCCGACGTCCTTCGCTTCCATGGGTTTTACTCCAGACTTTACTGATCTTGCCTTTATTGATTCCAGTGGAGCTCAACAGGCATAAAAAATGAAACTAAAAGGAGAATCAATTCCACATTAATTAGCCAGTGTGCATGATTTTCTCTGCTGCTTAATGACTCTTGTAATCATCTACAACTGTACAAAGTGAGCAGCAATCCTACCCAGGCAGGACTAAAAACCTCCAGCAGTGAATTCATACATTTTACACATTTTAGGGAGTGTAGAATTTTCTATAAAATCATATCTAGATTAGAAATGGTGACAGGGAAGTGGTGATTATAAACAGCCTTATTTGAGTTCAGACTATTTCCTTTTTCCCAGTAAAAAGTGCTGTGGAAAAGCCCACCCAGCCCTTTCATGAGCTTTCCCAGTTTGGAAGGGATTTGAAAAGGATTTGCAGGATAAAGCTCTTGGAATCTCATCTAAAGACCCCTGAAACAAGGGAAAGGTTATTTACAGCTCATTTTAGTGGTTCCTTGGCTTGTTTGGTTACTTTTCTTTTTTCCTTTTCAAACCAAAGCAACACTGGGGAAGGTTTTGCATTGCAGGAGAAGCCTCAGGGTTCCTCACTCTGGGGACTGTGGGATCTAAAAACTTTTGGACTTGGATATATAAACAAATCGGTGTCTAATACACCAGAATTCTGGCAGTGGGGGGCTTCTGCTTTTACTTATTTGGGCTCTCTCTCGTGATGTTTATTTTATTTGAGGGCTGGCCTTTATTTTTTCAGACTTTATTCCAAACCTACTCTTTATACCAGTCTCTTCTCATTCCCTTAGTGTTGCAGGACTCATTAACCCTCAGGTTGTGATCTGGTTTAATAAATATATAAGGAAACTCCTTTCAAGTCTTTTCCATATTCCTGTGCTCAGAATTCCTCTGGAATACCCAGCTGATGATGCTGTTTCACTGTGATATTCAGTGTTGTTCACACTCCCATCTAAGGGATCCTGCTCTGGGATCTTTTTGTGGCAGATGTGTGAAATTATCTAAAACTTTTCCTTACAGGGATGTTTAATTTCTATCTGTAGAGTAGGTGTGACTCAGTATTAAAGGTTTGCCTTTGTAATCTATTCAAGATAGGGATTGATGGACAGAAGTACAGTAAGTGAACGTATTTTGTAATAAAATGTGCATTCCTGAATGAGGATAAAACCATAATCCTTTTTATGTTTAATATTTACCTCTCCTTTTATCCCAGGAACCCAATGAGAGTGATTGCTTAGATACAGATGACATTATGGTCTGTCTTTGCAGTACTTTTTTCCCCCCTTTAACTGTGCATTTACACATGAATGGGTCATTGGCTCTAAATGGCAATGAGATCACAGTGAATTATATTCACTTTAGTGATACAGTGTCAAATTCAATCTTGTAAAAAACTCCACATCCTTTCAAATGGAAGAAACCATTTGAATTTGTATCGTCAGCAGCTGAACTTTCCCTTTCATGGTTTCACTGGTGGCTGGGAAGTTCATACACAAAGTCTACCAGGCATCTCTGAAAAACAGAGTTATTTTGGGAGTCACTTAAATAATAGAAAAGGGAATCTTCTTTTCATTATCAAAAATTAAAATAGAAGGAAAACTTATGTGCTCAATTGCAGGAAAAATCGAGGAAGTTGCTGCTCAGAGAATTTATCAGCAGGAAAAATAAAGAAACTTGTTGCTGAGAGTATTTACCAGTAACAGGAAGCAGTTCTATAGAAGGTCTGGGATGGTGAAAAGCAGTTGTTTCATCTTAACACTGCCCCAGCTGTGATTATTTCTGTGTGCCTGAGCATCTCAAAGCAGCAGGTGCAGAGTGAGGTCTCGTTCATGGGTGTGGTGTTCACATGTGGGTTTTAACATCCTGCTATAACCTGCAGGTTTTAATATTTCTGAGGCCACTGGAAGGACCAAAATGTTGGACTCAACACCTGTGTAACCAAATGGAAACCAACAGGCTAACTTTGGACTTAAAGTGACATTTATTTGTGGACTTTGCTCTTAGCTGTGAGGTGGATAAAGAAATACATGTGGGCCCAGTTTATGGTTATTTTGTCACTGCAATAGCAGTGGGATGATGCTGGCAGGTGTGACCCTTGCTGGCTGCAACCTGTGCCAGGACCTCCCCACCCTCCCAGGGTGGAATTTCATCCCAATATCCCATCCAACCCTGCCCTGTGTGAGTTTAAAGCCGCTCCTCTTTGTTCTGTCACTCCGTGCCTTTGGAATTGTAGGGGAGAAGGGAGTTGCTGGGAAACTCTGGCTGGAGGAAGCTGGCAAAGACTTTGAGATGGGAGAAGCAGCGTGGAGACAGGGAGAATGAGAAGAAGGAGCCTTATGGCAATCAGAGCTAAAATATCCCAAAGGAAGTGGCTGTTTTCCTGGAAGTGCTCCAGTGCAACCAGTGCAAGGTGGGTTTTGCCCCCACTGCCCAGTCCTTTGCTGTTTGCTTGGGTTTAGCTGCTGCTACAGGACTGACCTGGAGGTCATGGGCAGGTTTTATCCACAGGGATAGGGAGGAGGATGATTAGGCAGGTTGGGATAAAGATCTTCATGCCCCATCAAGCTGCAGTTAAGCTCATTCCAGCCTCTCACAGGGGCATGAACCACCACGGGTGGAGGGTGGAAACATCCCCCACATCCCTCACCCTGTGGCATTTGGGCTGAGTGTGCTTTCTTACAATTTTGGGAGTTAAAACACACCCTGATGGGCACATATCCAGGTTTTTCTGTGGCATATTTACTCCACAGCCCTGGAAAAAAACAAGAGGAGAAGGGAATTCACCTCCCCATGTTTAAGTGTGTGCGTTACCCATCGTGTTGCTTTAATGCCCATTTCTCTCCAGTGAACCTTCCCCGGGGCTTTCAGGGATGTGTCACTCCTGTGACTCCTCACAGAGGAAAACAGGAGCCTTTGCTGTGACCAGGAATGGTTTGGGAGTGATTTGTGGTGTGGGGAGCTGGGCTGGGCACAGTTCCAGCTGCAGAGCCCTCGATCCCATCGATTTTGGCTTTGCAGCTCCGGGTCTTGCAGCTCAGTCGTGGAGTTTTGTTTCATTTTCAAACCCATTTTTGGGAATTGATTTAACATTAGACAGCAGAACACCAGCACTGTTTTGTCTGGATTGCTGAGATTCTAACAGCTAGGCTGCAGTGCTCATTAAAAGTGTCCTAAACCCAAATAATTACAATTTTAGTGCCCTAATTCTAATATCTTTTCAACTTATTACATTTCTATATTTTAAGAAGTAACCTCCAGCCCACTGAACGTCGGGTGAAGGAGAAAATAAGGCCTCACTTTTACATTTTAATGGAATTATTGATTTTAGTTGTGTTGATATATATCCATTTATCTACTACACCCAAATATTCATAAAGACTTCTTAATTTTAAGCCTCTTCATTTTGCTTTCATTTATATGCCATGACAAAGTGATTTATCAAGGAGGAACCTCACCAGTAAAATTAGGCTGTGGTACCACTCAAGTAGTAATTCATCAAAGACAAATACCACTTAATTTTTTCTCATGTCTGCAACTTCATTATCTGTCAAAATCCATTAGAAGTTTGTTTTCTTCTTATAGTTAAGGACTAACCAAGAGATTTTTATATTTTTACACCCTTGAGAACATCTATTCATCATTATCTTCACAACATTCTGGACAAGACATCTAATAATGTCTCCTACCATTTGTCTTGACTCGTTGTTGAGAAGCATTAATGACATTTCAGTAATTTGAAAAAATATTAGTAATTAACTGTGCTATTATAAGACCATTAATTTCCTACATATTAATAAATATTTTTCAAAAATTAGGGATAAAAGGTATTTTTGGGCTCAGACCTTCAGCATAATGTGCATCAGCTGCACTAAATCCACCAGGTTTGTGTTGCCTGAGATGACTCCATGAACGGGGTGGGATGTGAGGACCCTCATTTTTGGGATAACAGGGACACAGAGATAGGAAATCTGGGCAAAGACGACCAAGTCCAAGCATTTTGGGCACCTCTGAAATATGGTGTGGATAAATATCCCTGTTTCTGTGAGTCACCAAGATGATTTCTCCCCAAATTTGCCATTTTTTTCTACTGTTTTGTGAACTTCCAGTAGAGTAAATTTTCTTTATAACCATAATTACCTT